ACCAGCATCAGAGCCCGTGTGTGTTACATCGCTAGCAGCCGCGGTGGTGCTTTAAAGTTTACCCTGTTTGTGAGGTTGTGGGAGACTCTCCAAGCTTGGCCATGTCTACCTTAAGAATAGCAGAATATCAGAATGAACGAAGCGCGTGGTTCTCAAACGTAAATTACACTTGTGCAACTCTTCCTGTAGGGCTGTGGGTTCTGGGTCTGATTAAGAGCTAGCAACGTCTTTCCTAGCAGTTATGGCCTCGACAAAACTACATGCGCACCAACCGAAACCTAAACCCTAAAATCAAGGTCGAAGGTAGGCCAGGTCCTTCTTGCTAGAGTCTCATAGTCTTAGTTTGCCGGAATCAAGCAGGACCTGGACTCTCGCATATCAGACCGTCGGCCGCTTCATGAAGCCCTCATGTCCAAATCTCAACATCCTAGCCCAAGATTAAGCTCTCACTTCGCACAGTGACCGCTGCCGTAATTAAAAAAAAACCGACTGCTTCCTACTGAGGCCATGACTTCGGGAATCTTCCACGGAGAGCTTGCTGCGGCTTATGCAGGTAGAGAAGATGAACCTCCCGGGGCCGACGCCGACTTCAATTTTAGAGATTTGACTTTTGGGTTTATAGTGTTTAGGGATTGAGGGTTGAATGTGATGGGGCTTGTACGGCTTCGCATTTGGCATTGTCTCTTGGAGTGAACTTCGGGGTTAAGAGATGGGTGGGGGGTTACAGCTAAAGGACGGTCGAGTCCGAGTCGTTCAGCTCTGATGGACGCTGATTGTGACAAGTTTCTACCGCTGCTCCCCGGGGAGAAGAGCATTGCAAGATCAACTCCAGTCCAAGCGAGCTGTCAGAACACCAGAACTCACACAATCATAGACATCTCAGGGCTGATGGTCGCAATGAACTCAAGCAACTGAAGAAGCGATTAGATTTAGATCTCCGGAAGTGCACTTCAATCAACATACCAGTGTTTGCAGCAAAAGTCAAGGCACTGAGACTATGAACCTAAGAACGAACCGGCGGGGCAGTTTTCTGAATAAATATCCAAGTAGTGGGCCTGCCAGATTGAGGGTAACTAGAAACCACCCGGAAGAAAACCGATAGCTGCGCGCCGCAGTATAATCAAGATCTAACCCACCCACGCTATGCGCCGATGAAAAAAATGAAAGCCCAGCAAGCAACCGAGAATGAATTCGCCTGTTCTGCACGACGGAGATGAACTCGGCAAAGTCGGAGAGATCCACGCTAATCATTTTGACCTCTTCACACATGCTCGGAGATTGGTGCTTTGCCGGGTACTTCCTCACGATTACATGAACCAAAACTGCAAAACCCGCAAACCCCAAACCCTGGACCCTAAAGCCCTAAACCCTCAAGCCCTCTAGGATCGAACCATGAGCAGAGGCACCAGCCCCCAGGTCTAAAGTTCAACATCCCCTCCCGTGTCTCATATTATACGGTATTGAAGTTGTTGTATTACACTTTTTTGGCGTTTACGATCTTGTCTTATACTAGACCATTCTACCGTAATTGTACGATGGTGTACTGCACTACTACGCATACCAGTCATGCGGTATTTTGGGTTATATACTACCCGCCCCCGAACATCCTTACTCGGACACTCGTTGCACCTAGTAAATAGAATTTGCACGATGGTCTTCTACTCTACTATACGTCTGTTATTTAGAGCCTGTAAGGGATACCGAATACACCTTCCATATATATATATATATATGTATGTATGTATATATATATATGTGTACATATATGTCAAAAGAACTTCTGCAGTGTTCGGAGTTCATCGTAAGGTCTTTGGGCTTATTGGCTAGAGCCGCCGCGCTGATGAACGTGGGCTTTCAGGATTTGGCATTTTGGTGTGTATAGAGAAAAGGGTTTAGGGTAAAGGCCACATAAGACTGCAAAGACTCAAAGTGATGTAATATAAAGCTCCACCTAACGAACAAAATCAACGCTAGCCGCTAGTCCACAACCCTCCTAAGCCAACTCCCGAAGCACAGAATTCAAAGCTCCCGGCTTTAGGCTGTCAGCTACACCCTAAACCCTCTCCCTTTACGTTGAAGCGGTCAGAACCTGAAGGGGCCTCTTGTCCCTGATGTAGTTTGGCACTCGCTTGGTGCAAGTGTTCGACGAGGTGGACCATCACCTGCTGCTCATGGGATATGGGCTTGGGGTTTAGGGTCTACCTGGACCCTACCTTTTTAGGGCTCCGTATCATGATTTCCTTATAAAAAGTCAACAGGTAGGTTATCTGGGGTTAGGGTAGGGTCGATGTTCAGGGGCTCCAGGGCTTGGGGGTTTCAGGGTTGAGGGTAAAATGGCTTCGTAGGTCGGCTTGCGCCAGAAGCTTGTCCAAATGCGCACGGATCCCTCATATATTCAATCAGAACACTGGCTCATGCCAGCGCCTCTGCTCACAAACACCTGAACTCAAAACCTCAGACAGCAAAACCCAGACCCTGAACACCCAAAACAAGCAGGAAGCTCGGTGAGAGTTGTTGCTTGCTGCAGTGAGATGAATGTCATTTGGTAAGCGGTAGACTGCACAGAAGATTCTCTTCCGAATGCAAGTTGGAAGTCTCCCTGTCCTGTGTCATCCGCATACAATGCTCCATCTCGATATGACTACAAGGGCCTGAATACTCATGTAGAACAGGCTTTTTGACGTAAGAAGTAAAACAAGTACAACAGGAACCGCAAGGGAAAAATATTCTCAGCGAAGATTCAGGCTTCTAGTTCCCATGCCTCCTTGAGGCACTGCTGATTGACTCAGGTCTGGTTTGAATCCTCCATGGCTTCACGCGCCCAAAACCCACAAACCCTGTGCCCTAAATGCCCCAAGTAAACCCCATCAACGTACAACCCGCCTACCCGAAACAGGAATTCTCCACAAAACACCATGATATATATATATATATGTATAATATATATATATATATATATTATATACATATATATATAATGGACTATACCGACTATACCGTATACTATAGTACTATAGTAAGTATACTCTACCACTAGACTATAGTATACTATACTACATTTTGCATTTATTTCAGGCCACTGCCTCAAGAAGAAGGTGGAGCCCCACGTTGCGGTTGTCTTTCGCCTTGCCCACACAGTCGGGCAGGAACTCGCACAGAAAAGCCTCAAGCGAAGGGGAGCTCAAGCGGTTAAAGGCCACTAAATTGTGGCTGAGGGAGCTTTAGATGTAAGGGCCTTCTAGGTTCGTTCTTAAGGGGTTTTGACGGTTCAGGGCGTGTTGAAATTAAGGGCTTTGGGCCAAGAGCTGAGGTTTCCTGTTGGTGAGGGGGGTGGACGTAGGGTTGGGAGTGTTCGGGACGTGCGTTGTGGATTCAGGGGTTAGGTTTGGCTACTAGCGAAGTGCATAGAAGTTCGCGCAATGCGGAACTAAGCAAATAGTAACCAGGGTGTGTTTTCAATTCGTCACTGTCTTTTTCTCCGATGCCGGGACGGCAATGTCGCGCCGTGGTCCCTGAACCCTGGTTAATGCTTGCAGACGCGGCATTACTGGCTCATTGCACAGCGATAGATCGTCGGTCACCCTAAACCCTACAACCATCCACGGTTCTCTGTCCGTGGGGCTCTGTCCGTGGGGCTCTGCCATGGTGCTGGAACCTGAAAACCTGACATCCCTTAAAAACAGCCACCGAGCCCTGCACCATAGTTAGCGTTTAGGGGCATACGGTTTAGGGGTTACTTATTCGACATAACGTAGGCGCCGGCACAATTAGGAATTTGCCTCCTTGGGGCTGATCCATTATAACTTTGTAGACGATACCACCAAAACCCCAGAGAAGCTACAAGGCCCCTGTATCAGACTCGGAGTTCGGGATCATGCAAAACGAATATCCCCTGATTCTGGATCAAAGTAGGGTTCCGTATATGACTCCATGCTCAAAGACCCGATCCCCGGTTTGTGCGCAGCCAATAGAGAGGCGATGCCCAGAGCTGCAGCACAACAGGGAACCCCCGTACCTTCGTGTGACTTCCCGTCTACAGTGCATATGAGGTTTTCCAGACCCCTTTCGCTCAACCCTCATCCTGGCTCCCCCTACCAGCTTGAACAGAAACAGCAAAACAACTATCAAAGGAAATGCCAAAGCACCGGAGAGCTGAATGCCCCAGAACCGAAGCGCTCTCTACTCCGAAACTCCGAAACCTGCAAGCGACCATACAAGCCGTAAACTCCAGACGCTATACTCGACCCCTGAAGCCCTGAGATGTGAGTCGCCGACGGGTGTCTCGATCCCATCCGCCAGAAAATGTCGCACCTCTTGTCGGCACCAGGAAGCGCTGAGGATACAGCTCCAGGGTGTAGGGTCGCCTACGTACTCACAAACGCCGTTCAATCGGGCATGCCTTTAGCTTGCAGAATTTGTTGATTGGGCTGTCTGGTTTGATTGGCTAGCTCCATGTATAGATGATGTATGGAGAAAACGGGCACCTAACAGTGAGAGAACTCACAGCCCCGCCCAAACCTCAAAGCAACCCTAATTCCCCGAATTCCGCAAGACCGCACCGCCTGCTCCTAAAGCCCATGCTTTACACAAGGCCCTCGTCTTTCTGTAGGGTCGAGGGTTCAGGGTTTAGGGCTGTAGGGCTGAGGGCTTATAGGGTTTAGGGTGGGCTTTTTCGGCTCAAGGCTTGGGCTTCAAGATGTTTCGTCTGCATTGACATCGGGGCGCGGAGCTTCGGGAGATAGGGTTTACGGTTTAGCTTTCAGGTTTTGGGGTTTGTGTTCAATTGTGGTTTGAGTTGACGACACTTGGGATGCGGCATCCGGATTTGCTGGCGTCAAGTTTCGGTGCCGGGTTTGGGATTTTGGGTTTATGTGTGTGTATATATATATATAGACGTTTAGCGTAATGTAAGCTAAGTTACTTTAACTCGAAAGCCCTAAACCCAACCCTAAAGCCCTAAGCCCTGAACCCCTGACGGATTGAACAATAGCCCCACAAAGGGCCCTAACCCCAGAGTGGTTTGCAATCCAACCCAAAATTCAATAAGCCAATCAAGACCCGGTCCTATATGTGGCCACTTCTCTAAATTCGGATCGGGTCACATTGATGGTCCTTTTTATAAGGGTGCCGTACTATGTTTGGGACCTAAGAGGGGACCCTAATTTAGAGAACCACCCAGGTAAATGGAGCCAAGAAACCGACCCCTTGAAAGACTCTACCATTATCCTGGTGAGGTGCCTCTTCTTATCCTTTGTGGGGCCCTGTTGCGTCTACGGTGGGCTTCTTCCCTCAAAGCCTATATCAACCACTGTAGGGCTAGATCCTTGAAACGCTTTGGGAAGACAGCGATTGGCCAAGCCACGAGCAGCTGCCTCTCCCGCAAGCCCAGGAGCACCCAGCTGGATTTCAAAGATTGATACCCGGTCAAGTCCTGCAGGGAGGCTCGTACGGTTCGGCAAGAGCGATTTTAGGGTTTATAGGGTTTAGGGTCATTATAAGATTAAAGATTTATCCTTCCGGGCCTAAATGGTGAAAACAAGACTCAACGTCTATTCAGGGCTGAGAGGCTACGCTAGGAGTTACAAGGTTTATGACGTAGCCGTTTTGGAGTTAACGAAAGCCGCCGTTCAAAGGATGGAGACAGCACTACGGTGAGGGACGGCCTCATTGCTGAGCTTAGCCAGTTTCTGCCCGAGGTTGGAGGGTGTAGGGGTTTAGGGGTGGTTAGGTCACGATTAATTACATGAACCGTTTCGATCGGCCGCTCTCAGGGCTGGCGACACAATTTACAGCACCAGCAATGTAGAATTCGTGCCCACTTACTTGCAATTAACCTTATCCATCAGCAAATCATGTTTTGCCGTTTATCAAGACTCAGACCAAAACGCTTCCTTCCTCTTTTGCTACTGTTCGCGAGCGAAAGAGAAGACTGCCTGAATAATCAGACAACGGCTCATGGGGGTCCGGGGGTCTACCCTGCAAAACAACGGGCTTAGCTTCTAGGGGTTGAGCGTTTAGGTTCAGGGAACCCTCAAGAACAAGACTTTACTACAAAGTAGCCGTGTCACTACATCGTCTCAATCAAGTCCGATCCGTATTTGCAAGGCCTGCACTCGCGCCAGGCAGCCCAACCGCACCAGTGCGAAGTCCTGCAGACAAGACTGGGTTAATGTTAAGGAACTTACAACTGGATTGAGCTACCACAAGAGGGATCTGTAGTAAGTAGCGATGCATCTTTGTTAGAACGGAAAGGTCCTGAGGAGCAACTGAAGGGCCGTACTCGATGCGTTAGACTTCTGGGGTCTGGGCTATATGGGTCTTCTGGGATTACACAATTGCAGCAATCGGAGTGCTCAAATTGGGAGTACCTAGGCCTTGACCTCGAGATGCGGAACTGAAGGCGTCGAAGTGCTCAGGCAGAAAACAAGACGTGACGAACACGAACACACAATCTTCGCAAAACCGCGGTGCTTGGCTCAACAAGTCGATGTGCTTTGAGGCTGGCTAACGGCGGCTAATGTCTCGAGATTCAGAGCCATGAGGGTAGAGATCGGGGTTCAAATCCTCAAACTAGGGTAACTAGGGTGCATCAGCAGAGGTCTTCCTCAGAAGTCAAGGAGGGAGACCTGCTTTGAGGACGCCTGGGAGGGAGCGGATCCAAGGCCAATTACCGCCGGCTCTTGGCCTAGGGGGCTCGCAACAGCCCAAAGTAGGTACTGTTTCCATTTCTGGACTCTAGACCACAATGGAAGTATTGTTTAAGATTAGGGTTTTGGAGCCCGTGGGTAATCTCCTTAGCCGTGGCAGGGCTTGATCGCCTTTTACATACCCGGGGTCTTGGAATCTCGAAACCCATCTTGACCCCTCCAACAAAAAGAAACGAGCCCACGTATTTAGGGCCCCACAGCAAACAAACCTTAGACGTCCCGTCGAAAACATGTTAATGCGTACTGCAAACATCTGCAATTCCCGACATAATGCTGAGACATCCTCTGGTGTGTTCCGCGGGAGCATCAGCTGACGAGCACGGAGATCAATGAAACCTCATGGGCTATTCCTTCATCAGAAAGGAATGCCTATTTTCAACCCCGAAACCCGACACCTTAAACTTTCTCTGAACCTGGAAACCCTAAATCTGACACCATTCAAATCCTAGAAGCCCCAACAATCCTTCAGAACCTTTGCCTCGAGCCGGTTTAAGGCTTTGGGTGGTATGTTTGGGGTTTAATGTTTAGTGTTCGGGGCTTGCATTTAAAGAATCGTATATTTGGAGGCTTTAGGGGTTTCGGGTCAAAGATCTGCTCAGCTCCGCTGTTTAGGGTTTGGGCGAGGGGTCGAAGGCTTTTCAAGTTCCCTAAACCCCTCAAGCCCTAAACCGTGCACTTTACAGTAGGGTTTCACGGCTCGGGAGTCTTGGGGTTTTGTTTCGTGGAGTTGAGGGTGTATGGGGCTTTGTGTTATGGAGTTGAGGGGCTTCGTGGAGGTTTCGGGGTTGGCGTCCGGCTTCCAGCTACTAGGGAGGTTTAGGGTTTTGGGCTTTGCGTGTAGGTTTTCGGGTTTTCGGGTTTGCAGCTTCAATGTTGAAGTGCTTTGGGGTTCAGGCCTTGGGGTTTTCGGGTTTATGCTTTGTATGTTTGGGCTTGGGGTTTCCGCCCTACTGAACCCCACGCCCTAAATTCGTGCAGTGTGAGCTCGGGGGGGGGGGGGGGGGGGGNNGGGTTGGTTTCTTGTTTCACCCCTCGGGTCTCAAGCCACACACAAACCACCGTGAACTAAGGCCCAACATGCCCGAAATCGAGGCCAGGGTGAAACCCGAATGCTGGACCTCGTGGATTAGTCCTTGTGGTCTGGGCAAAGCGCTAGAGTGCTGGGGCAATCCTGTTCAAATCTCGGAGAGTCATGCGATAAGGGATCATAGGGTTCACATGGCGCGTTTGAAGCATCCGCTGTCCATAGCCACCATAGCCGCCTGTTCTCTTGCTCCAAGGCGAGAGAGTCCAAACCAAGAAGGTCGCCAAGCTCGAATCTGTGACAACACAACGATTTTACTGCTCAGCGCACATGATCTGTAGTGCAGTCCTTTCGTGTGGAAACTCTCAGATAAAAAACCCTGAACATTCGACCCTTGGATTTGGGGTTTATGGTTGGCGGCTGTTGTCGCAGGGGTCGAGCTTGGGGTTTACACGACTCCTGCGCGGAAGGAGGGCTTGATTGAGCCAGGAAGGCAAGTTCGGTGGATTGGGTGGTAGGGATTACATCTGATCATCATCACCATCATCATCACCAAGTTGGTAAGTTGTCCCTAAGATCTATAGACTCACGATCGTCGACTCCCAATGATCCTACACCCAAAATGAATCCTAAAGGACCTAAGCCCCAATTAAAGCCCAAAGGCCCTAAGCCCACACACGCGCGTACCTGGGTATGTGTTTTTTCGTATCCGGAGAGGGGGTGAGGGGAGTGGGGTGGTTACGACCATGTTACACAAACCAAACCAAAACCGTGCTACTTACGGCGTTTCTGCCTGCTTATACAACACGTGCAGGAGGATGTTTGATGTTCAGTAAGACGAGGCCTGGTCACAAGTGTCATGACATTTCTGACATGCCCGAAACCCTGCTATGTGCAGCTTTTTTGCCTTTTTATACAACATATTGCAGAAGAATGCTTCATGCTCAGCAACACGAGCCGTGTCACAAGTGTTCATGTCATTTTGCAAGCATGCCCAAAATCCTACTGTTTGCAGCGATTTTGCCTCTTTATACAACGTGCGTCTCATTGAATACATCTACAGCTGGGTCTGGTGCTCGCAGTTCGATCCCAAAGCGGATGTCGCGGATCACTTCGGGAACGTGTGCCAAAATGAGTGCCCTAAGTTTGAGTCCCTAAATTTCCTGAAGCACGAATCCCTCCATTTCAACAGCCACACGTACGAAGTCGTGTAGTTTACAGCACTTGCCACGCATGTCATCGCATGTCCTAAAACATAGAGGCCCGTCGCCGCGCGGCCAGATATCAACGTGCGACCGGCCATAAGCAAAACACAAATCCTCAATTCAACAACCTGAAATCAGAAGGCACCGCGTATGAGCACTAAAATCTTAAATCCTACAACCCTAAACCCCTAAAGCCCTCGGAGCCCTCAGTGCCCTAAGTTCCTGTAAAATCCGGAACCCTAAAACACCCTCAACCTAAAGCCCTAAACGCAAAGCCCTAAACCGCTAAATTCCCAAGTTCTAGAATCCTAAACCCTCAACTCTAAAAAACCCATGAATCTCAGGTCTGAACTCCAATAGATGGCTTGCGGACTGCCTGGACGGAATGCCGCAGGTTCAAGCGCCGTTTAGAGTTTGGGGTTTAAGGTTCTTTTGTTCAGGACCTTTACGGTTGAAGGCTTAAGTTTGAGGACCTTTCGCCTTGGTTTTTGCTAAGGGTTTAGGGTTCAGTTGCTGCTTTTGTTGTTGCAGGCTCTTTCTGCAATTCGTATGGATTTAGGATATGGGATTGCTTAATGTCACATGGGCGGGGGTCTGGCCCTAGTCTAACTGTATTCCGTCCCTACAAAGAGGACGAAATGAAGATGAGGTTGAACTTTAAAGAGCAAAACGAGGATGGAGTCTCTTCTCTGTGGAAGCCGCAGGATGCCGGTGCACCGCGTGCGCTCAGAGCCGACCCTAGACGCCGACATCCGAAAATCGCGTGACGTGAAAAGCCTGGACAGCCCGAAAATGGTCTTGATTAACCTAATGTAGGGGCCTCAATAATTCGAATAGGGTTTGGGGGTAATGTGTGGTCCGCTTTAGTAACGTGGGGGTCTATAATGTGTTTTTTCCAACTCCGGACCAGACCAAAAAAATCGGCGGTCCTAATCATGCGTTCTTTTTTGGGGGGTGGGCTTTTCGAGGGAGGGTTGCTCCCTTTTGCTAATGGTCAATCTTAAGGCAGCCACGACCTAAACCCCACCCAAGCCCTAAAAACCGTGCTCGGGTTTGGGTTTTCGGACTGAGGACAGGAATCTTAGGCTTCTCGAGGCTTTCTAAGGGGATTAAGCTCGGGTTTGGGTTTTCGGGCTTCTCGAGGCTTTCTAAGGGGATTAGGAGGGCTCAGGCTCGGGTTTGGGTTTTCAGACTGAGGACAGGAATCTTAGGCCCAGACCCCAAATCAACCCAAGCCCCCACGAAACCCCCTTTTTTTTACAACCAAAGCAAACCACCCCCCAAACCCCTCGGCCCCCCCAATCCCCTTCTAACTTAATGAAAGCCAATCAGATCCTGAGCCAGCCCCCAAAACCCTCGGCTCCCCCAATTCCCTTCTAACTTAATCAAAGCCACCCAGAAGCACCCCTGGTTCCACACTATTCCGGACCAAACCTTTTGTTGGGGGGAGGGGAGGGGCGGGGGGGCCCTGTCTGATTCGGACCACACATTACATTATACTGTAATTACAATAACGAACCCCCAAAATAGTACTGGTAATTATTTAGGCCCACCACGTTTTGGACGTCCTCCTAGTAGCCCAACTGGATAAGCCACGTCGGTCTGAAAGAATCTGCCAAGGTGCTGTCGAGGATGTGGCGCAATGTCCGTATACCCACAATCACCGATGCTGCATTTCTGGAGTTCATGAACCTGCAAGGACACGAACAAATGCATACACCCTAAACCCCAAAATATCTCTGTGTCGAAGGGGCGAGAAAGATGTACGTGATACCACGTTTACCACTCTGCCCTAGTAGCTTGCTGTACGTATTCTCACAAGCTTGCCAACTGTTCGTGAAGGTCTCCTGGGCTGAAGGGTTTTTGGGCTTCAGGACTAAGGATTCATGATGCGACTGATATGATGCCGACAGAGGTGTGAAGGATAGTATGATCAGTCAGACTCTTATGATAGTCTGGTAGATGTGACACTCGGCTTAAAGGAAAGCATAATAATAGGGGGGTGGTCTGCGGAGAGAGGCTTAAGGCTCAGGAGGTCAGGGGGTTCAGGTCGTAGGGGTCGCGGGGTTCAGGGCATTGAGTTCAGCAGCGAGGGTTCCCAGTTTTGGGCCCATGGTTCACGCTCTTCCGACGCTATGTCAGAGGCCAGGTGCGGATTGTGGAATTCTCCGTGGCCGTTACAGGAGCCCAATTATGGTACCCTTAACAAGTGTTTATAGGGTTTAGGATATCGAGACCAGCCTAGAAAACGAAGCTGCGGTTCTTACTGGTGTTCCTGAGGGTCGGGACCGTGTAGGCGCTACACAGAAAGAACCCTACAACCTCTAAGGCAGTTGCTAAAAGGGCCTATTATTGACTGGCATAATGTCCAAGAAGGTTATCTTGTACTAACAATAAGTTTGAAAACAAGCCATCAGGAACAGTATTACCGACCTAAAACCCCTGAACCACTTCTTTTGGGGGGTTTAAGGCTTAGGGTCTTCGGGCTTAGATGGTTTAGGGTTTAGGGGGCACCCTACGTTACTCACCCTAGATCCCGGGGCTTGGGCCCTTCGAGAGACCATTTGCCACGCCTGGAGCCATTGCCTCCCGCAAGCCCACTCATAAATCCGAGCAAGAAGAGGATGTAGAACCTGCTCTAAATTTTAGTGCTTGTTTTGCTCTTTTTGCCAGGTCTGCCCCGCCAGGTCAGCCCCAAAGGGCTTTCTGGGCCCTCTGGGTCAAGGAATGTTTAAGGTATCTAAAGATTAAACCCTAAACCCTTTTTAGGCGGCTCCTAGGCAATGGTAGGAATTGCTCCTGCTCGATTTTAGATCTGTTGTGGGGCTTGCGTTGTGAAACACTGCTTGATATTTTGTGTTGTGTGTTTTAGCGCCCTTTGGTGCATCTGCTTAGGGCTTATACAGAGTTTCTTGCCCTGAAATTGATTAGGGGTGACTGCTGCGAGGAAGCTCGAGGGTTAAGGCTCTGGGTTGACAGGCAAACAACACTGCTTACAGGCGGCCTAGGCTGTTGGAGCTTGCGCTCTGAGAGGTTGTTAACTTTGAGCGGTTGCTCATGTAGCAGTGTAGTTGTATT